TAAAAATTATATTTTCTGAGCCCAGTGCAATGGCCTAGTGGTTAAAGTCCTTGCCTTGCACACACCAGCATCCCATATGGGCACGAGTTCATGTCCTGGTGGCCTCACTTGCCATCCAGCTCCCTGCTTGCGGCCTAGAAAAGCAGTTGAGGACAGCCCAAAGCCTTGGAACCCTGTACCCACATGGGAGACTAGAAAAGGCTCTGGGCGGGCCCGGCGGCATGGCCTGGTGGCTGAAGTCCTCGCATTGAACGCCCCAGGATCCCATATGGGCGCCAGTTCTAATCCCGGCAGCTCCACTTCCCATCCAGCTCCCTGCTTGTGGCCTGGGTAAGCAGTTGAGGACGGTCCAAAGCCTTGGGACCCTGCACCTGTGTGGGATATCCAGAAGCGGTTCCTGGATCCTGGCTTCAGATCGGCATAGCACTGGCCGTTGCAGTCACTTGGGGAGTGAATCAATGGAAGAAAGATCTTCTTCTCTGTCTCTCCTCCTCTCTGTATATCTGACTTTCCAAAAAATAAATAAATCTTAAAAAAAAAAAAAAGAAGTAGAGGCTCTGGGCTCCTGGCTTCCGGTTGGCTCAGCTCTAGACACTGCAGCCACCTGGGGAGTGAATCACCAAACGAACAATCTCTCTCTCTCTCTCTCTCTCTCTCTGTGTATCTGCCTCTCTAATAAAAACCAAACCAAACCTGTACTTTTCAAAAACAAAACCAAAAAATTTAGTAAGAATTGCATCTCTCTTCAGTGGCTGCTATTTTTTATATCTGCTATTAATTTACATTCAAAGTGTTCAGATTTCAGATATGATGTATCCTCAAAAAGTTCCACTGCCCCCATGAGTGATAAGCAGGCAAATACTCAAACAACTTAGAATTACTACAAAAAAAATTTTAACCTAAAAGTCCATTCAAAGAGTGCTAGAAACTCTAGATCACACTTTTGGGCATTGCTAGATTAGTTTACCTATATTTTCTATATTCAGCTTTGATACACTACAATCTCCAAGAAATTTTTTTGGGAGTGGAATGTTGTACAGCAGAATAAACTATTACCTGTGATGCCAGTATCCCAAAAATGTACAGGTTTGAGTCCTGGGTGCTCTACTTCCAATTCAATTCCCCGTTAGTGTGTCTAGGAAAGTGGCATAAGCTGACCCCTATGATTGGGTCACATGGCAAACACAGGGAGCTCTCTGTGCTCCTTGCTTCAGCATGGCTCAAAATGCCGTGTTAAAGCTGTAGAGGGCTGTTAGACACACCTGGGTTGAAGGTTTTCTCTCCCTGGAACTCTACCATTCAAGTAAATAAATAAATATCTTCCTCTCAAAAAAGGATAACATTTCCTGGATTATAAAGGTTTTCAAATATTTTTAGAGCCACACAAAGTAGTCTTCTTTCAAAAAAAAAAGATTTAGCTTTAATTTGAATGGCATAGCAGCAGAGAGAAAAAGGGAGAAACAGAATTAACAATCCACTCTCTGATTTACTATCAAAGTCCCAAGGAACCAGAACTGGGCCAGGCAGAACCAAAGACCCAAGAGCTGCATCTGGATCTCCCTCAGTAGTGGCAGAGGCACAAGCACCTGCGCCACCCTCTGCCACCTCGCAAGATGCATTAATAAGAAGCTGTATCAGTACAGTGGTCAGGACTTGAATGGGCACTCCAATGTGGGATACAAGTTGCCTACAACCCAGTGAACCACAACATTTGCCCTGAATCTGTGGGACCTTCTTTTCCAGTTTTTCCATTCTGCATGCATCCATGTAATCCTTTTGTATCAGCTAACACTGCTGTAAACAAGCTCTTAGTTTACTTGGCACTTCTATTTTTATTTAACTTGTCTAGTTCACTGACTTTTTAAACAGTCTTTACTGTTTCCTTCATCTTTTCTTAGCCGACTTGCTTGCTCTTTCTAACTTCTTGAACTGGGCTGACTTTTCTTAGCTGGTCAGCTATTCTTAGCTGACTTATTTCATTCCTTCTTGTTTCTGAAAAAAATATATATATTTAAAAGGTTTTTTTTTATTTGAAAGTTACAGAGAGAAATACAGACACACAAGATAGAGGTATTCAATCTTCTGGGTCAATACCCAAGTGGCTGCCACAGCCAGGTGTGCACCGGTCTGAAGCCAGGAGCTTCATCTGGGTCTCCAAGGTGAGGAAAGGGACCAAGCACTTGGACCATTTTTCACTGCTTTTCTCAGATCACTGCCAAGGAACTGGATTGTAAATGGACCATCCAACACCACCCAGTGCTTCTATGGGATGCTGGTATCACAGGTAGTGATTTACCCTTTATATCACAATACAAGCTCCAAAATCAGTATTTTTAAGACCATGAATTTTTCTTCTTTAGATGAATTTCACAATTCTCCTATTTAGTCTGCTTTTAGCTTCCGTGTTCCTACTTGCCCTGTCAGTTCTTTATTTCTTTTCTTTGCAGCAAAGCTCTGTTCTAAAATGATTCTGTACTAGCTCCATCTACTTCCTATTTTCCTGTTCTCCATGAAGTCCTCTCTAACTCCAGGCTTCACCAACCACCACTACACATCTGCCAATCTCTGATATTCCATGTATGATATGAATAAGAGTACAGATTTATACTTCCTTTCCCTTTTCCCTCCTCCATGGGTACACACCTGGCTTACCATCATTTATGTTCTACCCACTGCATTTTTTTTTAAGATTATTTATTTTTATTGGTAAGTCAGATATTCAGAGAGGAGGAGAGACAGAGAGGAAGATCTTCTGCCCCAAGTGAGCACAACGGCTAATGCTATGCCAATCCGAAGCCAGGATCCAGGAACTACTTCCAAGTCTCCCACACGGGTGCAGAGTCCCAAGGCTTTGGGCCGTCCTCGACTGCTTACCCAGGCCACAAGCAGGTAGCTGGATGGGAAGCAGGGCTGCCTGGATTAGAACCAGCGCCCATAGGGGATCCTGGTGTGTTCAAGGCGAGGACTTCAGCCACTAGGCCACGCCCCCAGGCCCTGCATTCCCACATTTATCCCAAATTGAATAGCCATGTGGTGATTCTACACCACATAATGCACCATCCTCTGAACTAACATCACCCTGACTCAATCATCACAACTTAGAATGTGTTTTGATATCTAGTAGATGTAAATTGTACAACTGGGTTGTTGTTGTTTCTAATTGCGTTGTCTATTCATTTCTTTGCTTCTTGCAAAGTTTTGAATCAGCTTGATTTTAAAAAAAAGACAAAACAGACAAAACATCATGTTGTAGCTGTCATTGTGGTTCACTATGCAGATGTATTTCAGAAAAACTGGCATTTAATATAGTTAAACTCTCAAAACATGAGCAAAAGTATATGTTTCCATTTACTTCGGACTTTTTATGCTTTCTTTGTAATGTATTATTGGTTTCCCAGCAATCAAACACATTTTCACTGAGATTTATCCCTCCATATCCCTGTTGTTTTGTACAAGCCTAAATTATATTTTATCTTAATGTTGCCAATAACTGCTTTATAGAAATACAACTATATACTGATTTTTCAGCAAGTGTGCAAAATTCATTTATGATTAATCCCAGTAATTTTCAGGGTACTTAACTATGTCACACATAAATAAAACCACCTTATTTTTCAGCAATTGGTCTTACTGGTATTTAACATGTTCATTTGTTATATAGTGTATGGGTTTATCTGATGCAGTTAATTACATCAATTGCTTTTTATGGAAAAGTCCTACCTACAGACAAATTGGGTCAAAACCAATGTAATAAGTTGTTAATATGAATACTTTCTTACATATTATTTATTGAATGTGATAATATGCATTTAAGCTGTTCTATCTGTACTCTAGTGATGTGGTTGTAATTTTTCAGTGATCTCTTAGCCATTATCTCTTCAAAGATTAAAAAAAATTTGCTACATGCTCTTTCTCTTCCCCTTTTTCAACACATTTTACATAAGATGAAAAATGGAAGGTAAGGTAATTTTTTTTTTACCTCACTCCCTCTGATAAGCTGGGTCTGGGATCTAAACCCCTGTCTTCATGGTTAAGTTTATAGTCAGCAGCCTTAGGGAGGAGTAACACCCCTCTCCTGCCAACAGCTAGACGAGCAGATCACCCTGATGTGAAACTTGATTAAGACCTCGCAAACCTGGGACTTGTTCCTAAAGCGTAACGCCATGGGTTCCAGCCTAAATACTGAGGGTTTAGTAGCATCTATCCTCCAACCTTGCGGGGCTCTAGACACATGCTTTTGTTTCTCTAGTCATAGGTGTTTGTCAAAAGCTCTGCTCTGCTTTTCCCCCACCTTCCTGATGCTCCACATGGGCCGCCAAGAAAGGTGGCCAGGTCTGCTAAGCTCACTGCTGGACAGCATTCTGGTAAGTGCCAACATATGTTTTTTATATTTTGTCCAGTTTTTCACATTCTCTTAGTAGAATGTTAGTCCAAATTACTTTATCCAACATTATCGAAAGTGGAACTTCTCCAGACACAGATTTAATGTGTTTAATATTTAAGGAATTTAGACGTTGCGCTTATTTCCTCGTTTCCTGCCATTACGGGCCCAGACCCACACAGAACATTCGTAAACTATCAAACATGCTTAAAGATGATGTGCATTTCTAAGAAAGCCAAAAATGGAACACTTTGTGAAGCTATCAAAACACTTTCTAACATTTCTTTTAGGTAAAACATTTATTCTGGGATAGTAATAACAACACATTTGCAATAAACAACTCTAGACAATATATTTTAAAAGACAAAAATGTACCAAAGTAATTAAGTTAGAAAAAAGCTTTACTAGCTTCAATGTTAAATCCCTTTCTCTTCTAATTGTTCCTAATCACTTATTAACATTATCTAGACAAAAGGTGTTAACTGTGTTTCTCAAACATTACAAACATAATATAGCCTTTGTTCTTACATATCCTTTTTGCTTTGGAAAAACCACAGAGCTACAAAAACTTGAATTCTGGTGAAAATCAGAGAAAAACATCATGCTTGTCAACACTTACAGTGAAAAATACGAAAATCAATGTAGGGGTGAGAACCTCTTCTTTCTGATTCAAATCCTGCTCGACTCCTTACACGTACATCTCCTGGATGGAATGAAGAACACAATCCAAGTTTAGAAGGTTTTCATTTTGGAAGAAGTTCCTACATTTAATATAGGTCCATGTCATATCACCCTGCACATAATGGCTCCTTAATAACATACATGGAACAAGAAGTTAAGAGTGAACCCAATTCCAATGTTTCACAGATCTTCAGTATTGACTTGTAAGGTTGAACGGGGTGAATTTTCTTTTTCAATCTACCCCTACAACAATAATAATTACAGCCTCTTAAAGTTAACTTTCAGAAAGATAAGTCAAATATATGATATTCCAAGCTAACATCTTATTGTTTACATGGAGTTAAAAAAGAAGAAAAAGGCCACTGAAAAAACTTTTTTAGAGGAGACAGAAAATCCATAGCACAAAATTTTAAAAAATCATAGCAAGAAGTAAGCATTTATTCAAAATCTATTTTGTGCCTAGCATTGTGCTATGGACTAAAAGAAATAAGAAAAATAGAAGCCACATTACTTATTCTCAGATAGATGCAATCATATACAGATACAGAAAACTGAAATGTTAGCCTCTACACCGTTTAACCTAATCAATCTCTTTTCCATTGTCAGTGGGTATAATTAAGGTCTTTGGGTGGACTGTAAACTTTGGTATTTATATATCCTTTTTCTCTTTATAGCAACATAATCACATCACTCTTTTTGTCTTAACAGCATTACTAGACTTAATTCTCTAATCAACCCTCACTAACAGCAATCTTATCCAGACACGGAAACTGGACTTTGAGAATAACGTGTGCCATGCCACAAAAGTAGTACAAAGGGCGAGCCAGGAGTTAAATCTGAGCCCTGTGGGTCACAAAGACACACCTCCCCATACCACTTGTACAGATCCCAGTCTTCAACCTTTAGGTGTTCAGCCCTTATATCCCTGTGTTCACACAATTCTGCTTGCCTAGAAGGCTTTCTTAATTACTTGTTGTTTTTCTAAATAAGATCATCACTTCCTTAAAGGTTCATTTCATGCCATGACTCTGTTCCACAATGATGAATCACCTCTCTGAAGTGGTGTGATTCCTCTGCAGTATAATGTCTACCAGATAGCCACCACCCATAAGACACTGGAAAGACAGCAGTGAACAAGGTATTCAAAGCTCCTGTTCTCATGAAGCTTATCTCATTATAATATGAGACCAACAACACAGCAAATACATCATTGGATTCTATGGTAACACACACACACACTATGGTAACACACACACACACGAATTCAAAGGAAGACAGAAATAGAGAGGGAGGAACAGAAGTGGCACATTAGAGTAGTCAAGGGGTCCTTGCCAAAAAGGAGGCATCTACACAAGTGAGCAATTATCTGCTTGGCTCCCAGGAGGAAGAGGGTTCCCAGGATCAGGAAAAGCAGCATAAACACTTGAAGCCTGGAAGAGCAGTGCACTTGGCTTGTTCAAAGACAGGTGAAGAGGCCATGCAAACAGGAGTGAGAGAATGAGGGCACTGGTGAGAGGTAAGGTCAGATATCCAGGGGACTGCATCATGTTGGGCCTTCATGATCTACAGCACTGACCACTACTCTTACACAGAGAAACTCCAGGGAATTGTATACAGAGAAAATGACTTAACTTGTACTTGCAAAGGTTCACCCTGGCCATATAGACCAGAATAGAGAAAAGTGGCTGCAGGAAAATGGGTAAGGAAAAAGTGCAATAAAAGGAGCAGTAACAGTGAGTGGGTTGGATAACATCATCAAGGTGGTGAGATTCTGCATTCATTTTCAAAGTATCAGTCAACAGATTCTGTTGACGAATTGGACATGGAGTAAGAATGACTCCAACATTTCAAACCCGATGACTGGAAGAATGCAGTTAGTTACTGAGAATGCAAAAGATTACAAAATGAACAGACCTGGGGAACAAAAACCTTGCTTTTTTTTCAGACAGGTAGAGTTGAGAATATCTATAGTACACCTAGGTGGGGATGTTCCACAGATTTAAAGAAAATATGAATCTATTATTCTGTTTTAAGGATCACAGGGTCCTAAACATATTTATAGGGAGAGATGGCGACAGTAAAGAGGAAAACACTGAACATTCATGAGGGAAAAAATATGCACTAGAGTAGATTGGAAGTGAGGCAGGTAAGATATACACAGCAAATTAAATAGAAATAATGGAAGTAAGAGCAAAAATAGGACAAGGCAACACTTAGTTTAAAAGTCTGAAAACGAATCAGTGAAGGATCAGTGAAGGAGGCAAAGAAAAATAGGGTAACTCAGATCTATAACATGAGGGAAGGATTCTGAGCTGGAGGTGAAGAATCACAGGAGACCCTTGTAGAACTGAGTAATATAACAGAGATTTAAGTACCAAGACCAAAGATAATTCCATACAAGCCGACTAAGAATAAAATGTATCCAGTGACAAAGCTAGTTGAACAGGCAACTCCACACACCTATTTTCTGTGAAGAATGCTCAAGAAGCAATCTACAATTGCGGACAAATGACACTGTCCCCGTTAAAGCCAGAGTGTTCTCCATCAACTCTTTCATGCCTCTCTTTATTCATATTATATTCAGCACTGGCTTCCAGATTCTAAGCTTTAATATAAAATTTATTTCTGTTATGAACAATGATTAAAAAGCCTAATGTAAGTTATCTCAATCTCAAATAGCAATATATGAGAAACAATTAAATAATTCTGCTACAAAATGAATAAAGCTTACCTAGCATACGAATGTACAGCGCAGTCTGATCAGAACTGTCATAGGAAATAGCTCCACGTCTCTAGAAAAAAACACACACATTTTGATATGTAACAATTAAGTCTGATATTAAACTCAATTTAACAAACAAAAAATGGATTATTTTACTATTTACCAAGCACTACACAAGAGAAGTTGGAGATACAAAATGACATTAGACATGGTATCTGATCTTGAACTCTCTAATGAGGGGGGGAGATAAACATAACACAATATGGGCAGGAACTATTGTAGAAGTAGATATAGTATGAAGAGGTAGAAATTTCATCTGAGTAAGTCAGAGGTTTTGGTGGTGACGTTTCAGTTGACTCTGAGGTATTGATACAAGTTGCTAATGGAAGAGAGAGGGGAGCAGGGCCCCCCACTGGTTCTTCCCCTCTCCCCCATATATTTTGGTCCACAGTCTGCTCCTCACAAAGAAGTAGGAGGGAGGAGTTCAATTTCTCAAAATGCTTCAATGGCAGCTACCGCGGTTGGAATAAATTTCAAACTCTAAGTACTGATTTCCCAATGTCATCTATGATCTACCTACCCCTCTGTCCTGCTGTCTTACCACTGCTCTTACCACTCTGGCGTTCCTCTGCTGGGGTTCTATATAGCATTGTTCCCTGATTACGTCTCATGGTCCAAGTCAAAAGCTGTCCCTTTCATAGTGGGGACTACTGCATCTCCAGCCAACTGGAGCCCACAGCACCCTAAGTCAAGGGTCGGTGGGCTTCACTACAGTGATCTTTTGCATGCGTTCCCCAAAGGAAAGTTCCACGAGGGAGGGCAGAACCAAGTCTGCGTGCTTCATCAGTGCATCGCTGGCTTCTGAACAGGGCCTAGTACTTAGTAAACCCTAAATAAATATTTGATAAATAAGTGACTAAATGCATGCACTGCAAATAAATCATGAATAACAATTTACAAGCAAACTGATGAGTCAATTAATACTTAGAAGAACTGATATAAATGAAGACAGACTTAAAGATCTGGAAGAGAAAAGTGACCAGGTTTTGTACTAGAGTCTAAGCTTTGGGAAGCAAGGACTCCATTCACTGCAACATCCCAAGACCTCAAATCAGATCCCAACTGTACAACAGTGTACACTAAAATTTTTCTGTAAAATTATTTGAACCAAGAGGCAAAAGAAAAGCTTTCAAGTAGTACTAGATGTAACTAATACATGTAGTGTGCCACCACAAAGTGACAAAGAAAATAAAACTGTCCATGGAAAATCCAGAAGCAAATCTAAAAAAATAAACAATGATTTCTTTTTGCTAAAGAATGTGAAACAATGGTGGGGAGTGGGGCTGGTGTGGTGGCGTTCCATATGGGCACTGGCTCATGTCCCAGCTGTCCCACTTCCTATCCAGCTCCTTACTATGGCCTGGGAAAGCAGAGGAGGACAGCTCAAAACTTGGGACCCTTTAGCCACGTGAGAAGATCCAAGGATTCTTGTAGCTCCTGGCTTTGGATCAACTCTGACCATTGCAGTTGCTTGGGGAGTGAACCAACAGATGGAAGATTCTCCTCTCTGGTTTTCCTTCTGTTTCTCCTTCCCTATGTAAATGGGGGGGGAGGGGGGAAGAACATAGAAATATATGGGGGAAAAAATGAAATTCAATCGTGTCAGATTAAATGAATGCCTTTTGAAAAACTTTAAATGTATTTCTGTATTCTTCCTCCGAAGTAAGTTATATTTAGGATAGTAATTTAAATGCAAAATTTATTACAAGAAAACATGACTACATTTTTAAAAAGCTCTTGGATAGGAAGGCCTTTCTAATTATCCCATAAAAATCCAGAAGTCACATATCACTAATAAAAATGATCACTTAAAAGAGGGTTAGCGCCGAAGCTAACATCTGCATCCCTCACAGCAGACTGCCTGGAATTGAGTGCCAGCTCCGATTCGGATCTGGTTTCCTGCTGTTCCGCACTCTGGGATGCAACGGGGATTACTCAAGCAGTTGAGTTCTTGCCAGTCACACGGGAGACGGTAAGTGAGCTCCTTGCTCTTGGATTTGGCCAGGCCCAGCCACAGGTGTTGTGGGCTTTGGGGGAGCAAACAGAAGACTTTCTGCTTGTCTCTATGACTTTTAAACCAAGACAAATTACTTCAACAGATATGACAAACTGAAAACTTTATTAGATCTTAAAAAAAAAGTGCCGTAAGAATAAATTTTTAAAAAGATGACTACTATTATAGAAAAATTGTAGCATATAAACATACTATTTACAAGGAAGGAAAAAAACAAGAAAAGAAGTTGGGTTTCTTTAACAAAAGAAATACATTTTTACTAATCACATTACTGATCTTCTTTTATAAAATTCTGTCATGGAATTTACAGGTCCAACACATATCTACAAGTCTCAAGGAAAAGCAACTTCATATCTTAATATTATTAAAAACACAATTTACTTTACTATCCTTACAACTGCCCAAAATGTTATTAAATTCATAATGTTAATCATTTAAAAGAAAAACATCAATTAAAAATATTAGGAAATAAAAGCTCACAAAATGCAAAAGGAACAAACATTTCAAACAAAAATAAAATATTAGCTATGAAGAGTGGGGTTGCCAGGCCTGGAGCAATGGCTTGAATGGCTAATCCTCTCCCAACAAGCATTAGGAATCCCATATGGCACCGGGTTGTGGCCTGGCTACTCCCTTTCCCATCCAGCTTCCTGCTTATGGCCTGGAAAAGCAACAGAGGATGGCCCAAACCTTGGGATTCTGTATCCACACAGGAGACCCGGAAGAAGCTCCAGGCTCCTGATCAGCTTGGCTCCAGCCATTATGGCCAGCAGATGGAAGGTCTCTCTCCTTCTCACTGTATATCTGCCTTTCTGACAAAAATAAATAAATCCTCAAAAAAAAAAAAAAAAGGTGATTGCTGTCAGGGAGGTTGAGGTACACAGATGTTGAAGGGACACTTCAATGTGTATCTTTGCACTTTTTGAACTATAGGGTGTGTGCTTATTATAAATTCACAAGATAAATACAATTTAAAAGTCAAGTACAAAGAAAAGCACCTCCCAAGCGACCAACTGATACAGAATATACTCATGTACTTAACTTCCAACAATAGAGTTTCCAAAGGAAGCCTTCTGTTGTGTTTCATGGCAAACTATTTATTCTGGAACAAACAGCCAAGTAATCACTTGGTGTTAAAAGGAGCCACTCACATCTGCTGCTCCAATTCACTCCCAAGATGATTAGATTACAGCCCTCCCCTCAACATTATCATACTGGGGATTAAACTTAGTAACCCTGGAAGGGCATTCACGGAAATAAATAATTCCATCAGCCAAAACATATTAATGAAACTAAAAACATTGCATAATAAATTGTCATGTCAATAGCTACCAATCTGGTAAAATGCAGTAACAACCTGGGGAGACTGCTTGTCGAACAATCTTCAAGCAGCTGTCCTCCAATGGTTTTCTTTAGTAAGGCAGCTAGCACTATCATTTTATAATGCAAGAAGGTTATTTTCTAAAACAGTCCATAATTAGGAAGATAAAATCTGATGTCACCTTACATCTTACGGACTGTGAAAGAATAACATCAGCTCTCTATTAAATAAAATAGTAATATGTCAAAAACTGGGTAATGAATACAATGAACAAGGATATACTAAACTTATTTTTAAGGCAATAATTTTAGGCTCACGTATATGGCCTAATTTAGATATTAAAATGGTAGGAACTGCATTAATCTTAATAAAAACTTGGCAGAAATGTAAAGCTTAGTTTAAATACATATTGACAAATTATTTATGAATGTGCAAAATACCCAGGTTACTCGATCTGATATAAAGGCTGGTCTACAAGGACTTAGCTTAAATATTCTACTGAACTACAAGACATAAATTTTATGAAATAAATCCAGATAAGAACTTTTTTGAAGAGTGTACTTCAAAACACATATTTGAATCTGTCAACAAATAGATCTAGTGTGAGGATCATTCATTTGCCTCCTTAAGGAAGAAGGTCAAAGTGAATATTATCTTACTCTGCAATTTAAGTAGAAACATCTAAAATAACTCATCTTAGAAAAATTTACATTATAACAAAACTTGACCTCCATGTTAGAATCATGTGGTTTGAAAAAAATAATTGTATGTGCTTTATACACTGAGACTGCTACACTGTCTTATCTTCAGAGATTAGCATTTTAAAAACCCCATATACTATCAGAATTATATTCTTAATTTTAAAAATTAGGTAAATCTCATAAAAATTCTTTCTTTCACACAGTCCGTCATAAAACGTCTTGAGCTATCACCCACATTCCCGGCTCACCTCCGAGGAGCTCCTACTCGTGACTGGTCTAATTTAGCCATCCTGGGAACAGCTTGTAAAGCAAACTTGTATAGGTCAAAACATGGGCGAGGCTGGGCTAATCAGAAACTGACAGCCGCTGCATAAACAAGTTCAACTGCAAGGTTCCACAGGATCCACTGCAGGCAAGCAGGCCTACTCCGCACCCTGGCAGGACACCCGCCTCGCCTTGAGTCAGGGTGAGCTGGTCTCCCATAAAAAATTTGATGGGAGGGCGAATGCCTGGGAGGCGTGAAAGCTGCTCCTGGTATTAGTAAATACCTAACTTTTAAAGGCAGACATGTTTTAAAAACTAGCAAAGATATTCTAAGCGCCATTGTTTTCATTTTGTTTCAAGTTTTTCGCCAAATAATCTAGTGAACAATTGCAAGTACATTTCTCTTACACAGAAAAAGTATTAACATAAAAACTTCTGTTAGATAGTGTTGGCATGTTTTCACGAACTCACTTAACCCACCCAAAATCTTTCTGAGGTAGGTTTTATTAATCCCATTTTACAGATTGGCAAACCAACAGTTAAAGAGCTTAAAACCAGTAGGCATTAAGTAAAATAATTAACGACATTACCAAAAAAAAAAAAAAAACCCTGCAAAAAACAAACAAGAAAACAGTAACATATAAGCAAAACATGAAGCACAAAGTTTCAAACCTAGTTTCCTCTGCTAACTGGAACCGTGTTTTTCAGAACTCCCTTGTCTTACATACTGTAGGCAATACCTTCAGTACTCTTCCTAGTCTTTGAAGATTTTTAAATAAAACTCTAATATTCTAAAAACCCAAATTGTTGATAGTCATTTAAAAAGTAAAACCTCTGAAAATACTCACAATCCAACTAATGCCTTAATATTAACTTGACCTGCATTCAATAAGTTTGGCAAACCAAACCCTTAAAAACAATAAGTTAAACAGCTCTCTGTGCAAAACATTAATCCTTAACTTTTAAAAACAAGGACTTTAAAAATTTGAGCAAACTTTTTCTTCCTTTGATATTCATATTCGCTAGTAAAAGTGGATTACTTCTAGGATATGAGTAAGCTCAAAATGTTATCCTTAAATTCAGTGAAAAATTACATACCAGGGATTAAAACGTTATTTGCAAAGGAAAATTTCTAAGACTTTCATGGTGTTTAGCAAAAAGTAATGACCTTAAAACATTATTCAGTTTCTTAGTACAGAAAGAGAAAGGAGCATGCTGATGACAGATACCATTTCAACACAAGTGCAGAAGAAACAGCGTAATAATTCCAAATAGTATAATCTTATTTTAGTTTTAGACTCTGATCCAGATGGCAAGTAGCTAGCTAGCACCCTATCAGGCATTTCTCAAGCCTGCTGTCTAGAATTCAACTGGAAAAACAACTGATATAATTAATCTTACACTTCTGGCATTTTATTACAGCTAAACATACATGTTGGCAACAGCAAGATCTTAAGAAAGATGACTTTTTAGCTTTAAAAAAGCCTACCATTGTTAGAAGTCCTCAAATTTTACTTTGAACATACAAGTCTTAGTAAATTATTTTTCTCCAAAGGAAGATGCTTAGATAAGTACACCAGAAGTCTAAACTGCAAGGATTTTATTATCTTAAAAGTTAAAGCTGTTTAATGATAAAACATCCCCTAAGACAGCAGAAAAAACCCTAAAGCAGGAATCAAGTGGGATAAGAATGTAAACTACAGGTTGCAGTTTTAAGCCTTTTCGCTGACCAGTAAACTCAGGCCAGAGAACATCAACTCCTTCTTTTCTATCAGTCATGAGTAGTTGAAACAACCCTCAACGAGACAGGGCCTACCTTGGAGGTGATCCACTTGATAAGAACCAAAGCCAGACACCAGATCAATGTAATTCCCATTGGATCAATCAGCTGCCTGCTGCATAATCTCTCTCCTCTCCTGGGGAACCAGGAGGACTTCTGAGGAGCCTGGTAAATGACCAGCTGTCCTGGGACAGAGGAGAGGGGACACTGACTGCCCAAAGCCTTCAGCAGCTGCCTTCCAACAACGATCACCTGACCCCTCTGAGAATGCACTGCCCAGCCAGGCTTCTTACCCAGAGAAGCCACACACCCCGGGTGCTGGGTGGAGCAACCCAAGGAGAATATTGCTAGATTGGGGGGGGGGGGAGGAAGAAACCCCGGGTGGGTACTCACCTAACAATTTGATATATGGAAATGAAAGAGGCCTCTGAATAGCCCACACACCATACAGTCTTTATACTAACAGACTAATGGCCCCCAAACAACTTTCAAAAACGGTTTGGCAGGATGAAAACTTTTTTCTTTGTTTTCACACAGTTTCACAGGCATGTTGTCCTGGCATTTTAAAAACGTGCACACATGTTACTCTTTTCAACTTTCACAGTGCATTTATTCAACTTTTTATTTCCTTTGGAGCTAGGATTATTTTATGAATGTTAGATGTTGTCATACTGTTTTGCTACTTAACATAACAATTCACTCATTTTGACAAAGCCAGTTGAACCAGTGCATTACAGGCATACTACTTTCATATTTTAATTGCAATCTAGCTTATAAAACAGTGCTCAGGGTATGTGTCTAGTACTCGTGGCTGTAAGTGAACTAATAACGAAGTGTGCCAGTACCCATTCATCTGCAAAAGCCAGTAAAAACAGACTGCAGGTAGTACAGCTGATAGGAGCATCTTACATAGCTTTCATTCAATTCAAGTTCTTCAGCAAATGTTTACTAAGCTGCCATAATGTTCCGGGACCTGGGCTGGACATCTGGGATACAATGATTAAGTAGAAGCAGACACAGTTTTGGTCCTTGTGATAGGTACAGTTTAGAATCTACACCGACAAAAAATACAAATCAACATGGAACCGCAGCTGTAACCAGTATGATGAAGGAGAGAGGAGCTGTCCCCCAAAGTTTGGGTCTGACCTACAGAACAGGTAAGGAACTTCTCCCCAGAGTCCCAGAAATGTCTCTATGCTGGAAGTGATGCAGCAAAACCATGACAACAGGAAAAACCTGTGTGGCCAAGAGACTAGGCATAAGGGCCAAGAAAGCACCAAGTATCAGTGATAGAAAGGAGACCCTACTGAGCAGCCCGAGTGCAGGAAGGCATAGATGCAGCTGCAGTCAGAGGCTAGTTCTTCCAGAGGCCTCCCAGAGGCCACGCCAAGGTTTCCCATCTCCAAACTAGCAAAGAATAACAATCTGCTAGGGATCTTCAGCAACCTGCATTTTCCAAAGACCCAGTCAGTCAAATAGTCAGGGTGGGAGCTAGATGGGTAATTGGACTGCCTAGCAGAGGTTCAGGAGAAAGGTGATCACCACGTACAGGTGGCAGGACTGCAACCAAGAATGGAATAAAGCCACCTGGCACAGCAACTGCATGAACAATGATTCTCAAGTATTTGAAAAGAGCTCAAGTGGCTCTAATGCTAATGTTTTCATTACTTAACCCATGGCACAAAGAATTTAGGTACAAGTTAATTCCAGAACTGTCAAAGTGAAACATAAAGTAATGGACAGGTCTCAATTCAAATTTTTCTAAATCAAAACCATTCTTAATACATAGCCATGGACATTTTACTTCTGGTTCCAGGATGAACAAACCAGGATGCTAACTGTTGTTCAAATCAAGATAAATGTTTTTTGTTTGTTAAGGAGACCAGGCTTCCCATGAGATTGTTGGGGTCTTTGATTACTCTCCTTATTCCGGTGAAATACCATCAACCAAATTCAAAGAATGCCCAGGCATGGGACAGAGTATCTTAGCCCAACACTCAACGGAAATATCCTTTGCCCTGTTAGAGTGTGGGTAGCCAAGCCAGTGCTTAACATAGGCTTCAGGGTCATTGTCTCTCTGACACTCTGGCCTTGGCTGAACAGTCCAAATTGGTCCACTGCTAAAATGACCTTAACCCAGGAATACTTCTGTTCTTACTGTCATTCTATTCTTCCAATCAGCTGCTCAAAAAGAGTCAAGTTTTGAGAAACAATAACATTTCTGGTACTGTGTTTAAATTAAATATTCCAATAAATGCCTTTTTAGTTAACAATGAGCTCAAATTTCTGCATCTTCTTGTACATTAAGAGAGACAGATGCACATTGCTGCACAGCATGGTAAGCCACTGGAAATACCTGCAGCCCACAATGGAGTGCCCAGGACACAGGCCCACCTCCACTTTTGATCCGGCTTCCTCCTAACATACCTGGGAAGGAAGCAAGAGGTGATGGCCCAAGGACTCAAGTCCCTGCCTCTCCTGTAGGAAATCCAGATGGAGTTTCTGGCTCCAGGCCAGCTCCAGCTGTTGTGGGAACCTGGGGAGTAAACTAACAGATGCAAGGTATCTATCCTTCTCTCTCTCCAAATCAATCAACTAACCTTTAAAAGACAATTAAAACAAACAAACAAAAAACCTGAAAGAAGAGAAGGTTAGAAACCCAGAACTTAGACATGGAGCAGGAAATATCAGCCTCCATGTTCTCTGATGAATTCTGGTACAGATTATCTCTACCATCTCAAACTCCACAGAGCTTGGAGAAAAAGGCTTAGTTTTTTTTCCCCATCTTCACTGTCACAGCAGGTGCTTTCCGGGCAAATCAGCACCTCCCCTCAGCCTGACTCCCCTCCTCTTCTAGAATTGAATGGTGTGCATCAGAGTGGGCTCTAATACCTTTGAGCTCAATCAGATTTAAACAATTAGATCTGAAAAGGAGAATTCCCTAACACTGTAACTTGACCTCACCTCTCAGGCTGACTGCAATCACAATGGTCTTGAAGGGAACTTGCACTATGCTTGCCAAGTGACACCAGGCAGGACTAGGCTCTTGGCTTTCATTTCTCACCTTGGGCTGGCTCTGAAAATGATTTCCCCAGCACCTATTTCTTATGTTTCTACTGTATGTGTGGCACTGTAGTACAGTGACAATCAAGACACGATCCTCCCAGATCAGAAAATACTGTTTAGTCTACAACTAAAACAAATTCTTCCTTGCGAATGACATATTTATATCATTCTAATCTTACACGATCAATCCAACAGCCTTAAAGTTTTATTTCAGGGATGAGCTATTTATTACCAGTTCATTTTAGTAGGTTGCAAAGTTTCTCTTAATAAGAATAAAAATAAAATCACATGAAAGAAATATGAACACTGTCAAATTAGTATGAGTACTTTAATAATATGGTTATTGCTTAGAAAATTACCTTAAGAATATTTCCAGAATTGAACAATGTAATTTATTGCTCTATAAAGAAAAAAGTGTTTCCTTTTCATGCCAACAACACATACAGACTTTCACATTCACTGTTTTCAGAGCTGGCTCAAATCCTTAGTGAAACACAGCAGGATAACAATCTAAAAAATTACTGTACAGGATTCATTTAAGCTTTCAAAAAGAGAATTTTACAGCAGGAGAAGAAAATACAAAACTTCACAATCTTTCTGGGATTCATTAGCCTAATATCTGAAAAAAATACGTTAAAAGCAAACTTCATGATTTTCTGTGTGGTCAACGGAAAAAAAAAGGTTTGACTTTGATCAGTGTTTCTTAGAAGTAATCCAAGAGCACATTTTATCCGTAGGGCTCTCTGCCACGCACAGGACACCTGTCAATTTTGGCAACAGCCTCTAGCTGTCCATATAGAGACTCACCACGTCCCTCTCCTGACCAAATTAGGCTACCCTCATCTGCATTGACATCAGTGTCTATAATTTTGGAATCCCTTGGACAGAAATAGCCTATCACAGTGTCCTATATACAAATCATCTGTATGTAGAAAAGTACAACCCAACTGATCACAGAAAAATATGGAAATTACAGTAACAATCCTCCAATTATACTTTTACCATTTTAAGCTACAATCCATCTTAATAAACAAGTTTATTTCTTTTACTAACATCCAGAGTACAGTATTCTTCAAGTAGTTTGAATTTCAAGAATTATGGACCCCCCCCAAAATTAAGTGCTAACAACTAACAAAATGTCATTTAAAATCTATGGCTAAGACCTTTCTGTCATACTGATTTAGAACTCTGCATTATATATTTTGTTGTAAGAGTACAATATATTTGACATAAATGTACATGTGTTTCATTCTAGTACAAAGGAAGTAATAAAAACACCCAGACTTTTACAAACATCCAATTCATCTGAGTCAGAAGACATTATCTTAGTTTACTTACTGGACCACGAACTATATTTTAAAAACTTCAGAAAAGTAGAAAATCATCACAAAACAAATCAACAAATGTTGCCACAATTTCTAAAAAGAAATGGTATAGATATAGCTGTAGAATTTGAACTTGATAAATAAGAGCACATGGGGTTGGAAGTGGCTCAGTGTGCTAATCCTCCCCCCACAAGCACCAGCATCCCAAATGGACGCCAGTTCTAGTCTTGGCTGCTCTACTTCTGATCCACCTCCCTGCTAACAGCGAAGGAAAGCAACGGAGGAATGGAGAATGGCTCAAGTCCTAGGACTCCTGTGCCCACAGGGGACCCGGGAGTGAGCCAGCAGATGGAAGATTGATTTTTCCTTCTCTGTAAAATCTGCCTTTCAAAAAAAAAAGTTATTTCATTGGCTCATTGGCTGGTGCAGGAGACAGACCAAATCTAACCCTCCATGAGCTGGGCATTCAAGTCAAATCTGAGTACTCCCCAAGTTCCATGGGGGACTCCCCAGCTAGACTGTTGGACTGAAACCTTAGCCTCAGGGAAAAAAAACCACAAGATATATAGTCTCTTGGAGTACAAGGATCAGGACTGGGCCTCCTCAGTTGCTGATGCCCAGGCAGTAGA